AGCAATGAAGGCAGAATAGGAGTTGGCTAAGAGGTGGGCCAGGGTAAAGAACATTCAAAGCATAGGGGACCATATGTGCAATGATTCTGAAAGGAGACCAATGTGACCAGAGGAGTAGCGAAACGATAGTCGGGGAGTAATTGTAGTGCAGGTATAAAGTCAGAAAGGTAGGATCAGAATGTTTTTATGGACCTTTTTAAGAAGAAATTTTTTTTATCCTAAGAGCAGTCAGTAATTAAAGCATTATAAGCAAAGGGAATGACAATCATATTTGCGTTATAAAAAGATCATTGTAAGTGTTGTAAGTGTGATGTGGAGAGTGGTTTCTAAGGGATTCAAGGAAACAGTCAATAGGCTACTTAGTAGGCCAACTAGGTAGTAGTTGTGGGGACTCTAACTTGGGTAGTGATGGTGGGGATGGGGAAGATAAATAGATGGAATAGGGGAACTTTGTGATGAATAATATATTGGGACAGGGTGGGGAAGAAGGAATAGTTGAGGATGATTCCTAACTTTTAACATGTATACTCACATCAATAGTGGTATCACACCCTAAAATAGGGAGCAAGGGAAGAATACCAGGCATTGGAGCAAGATCATGAGTTGTTTTAGATGTGTTAGTTTAGAGGGGCCTTAAGACATCCAAGTGGAGACATTTTGAGTAGGCTGCTGGATGTACTAGTAAAAGAACTGGATTAGAGATAGGAATCTGTGAGGTGTCTGCATTGAGGTGTTAATTAAAGCTGTGGGTGTGGGTGAGATCACTTAGGGAGAGATGATAGAATGAGAAGAGGGCCTTGTACCCTGCCCTGAGGAATTCCAATATTTAAATGGTCTAGTCAAGGAGACTGATGCAAAAAGGAGACAGGAAGGAAAAAATTAGGGTGGTGGTGAGTCACTGAGGACAAGGGAGGGGTGGTTTTAAAAGAAGGGTGTAATCAACAACTGCAAATGCTGCCAAGAGCTCACATGTAATGAAGACTTGCATTTCATGGCAGGCAGGTCATTGGTAACTAGGTGTAGAAGTCACATGGGTTTGGTTTGAAGAGTGAATAGGAAAGATATGTGGACTATAGCAAACCGGTAGATGTTATGGGAGGGCAGTGACTAGAAGGGGATTATGAAGTCAAAGGAGAGTTTGATTTTGTTAATGGGAGTCTTGATCACATTTTAAATTGAAAGGGGAGTTGACTATCTAGGAGATGAGATAACTGACAGGATGAGTTCTGAGAAGGCAGGAGATGGATGGAGTCCAGAAGCAGGGAGGATTAACATGGGGGAGGTGAGTGTACTATCGAATAGTTAGCAGATGAGGGAATTCCATTAGTATTTCCTCCTGACCCATAATGTATGTGACAGGAAAGGTAAGAAGAGGAATTTAAAAGTGAATCCAGTTGGGTTTTTATTTCAGAATTAGCATAAGTAGCTTTCTATTTCCTTGCTTCTCCCCTCCCTGTTTTTTTTTTTTTAAATAATATATTTTATTGATTTTTTACAGATAGAAAGGGACAGAGATAGAGAGCTAGAAATATCAATGAGAGAGAAACATCGATCAGCTGCCTCCTGCACACCCCCCAGTGGGGGTGTGCCCACAGCCAAGGCACATGCCCTTGACCAGAATCGAACCTGGGATCCCTCAGTTCACAGGCTGATGCTCTATCTACTGAGCCAAACGAGTTTTGGCATCCCCTCCCTGTTTTTTTAAACAGTTTTGTTGAGACATAACTCATATATAATTCACCCATTTAAAGTGTATAATTCAGTGGTTTTTAGTTTATTCACACATAATGTGCAACCATAACCACAGTCAGTTTTAGAACAGTTCATCACCTCCAAAAGAAACCCCACACTCTGGCTATCTCACCTCTCCCCTTTCTTATTCATCTTTTGCTCTCAGAAGAGAGCCTAGAATATGATCTAAATTAGATTTAAAATCATATGATTTCAGAGAAGAGTATAAAGTAAGGCATATGAAGGATTGCTATGAGCCTCAAAACCAGAGAAGCAGAGGGGGCTGAGGCCTACTACTTAAGGTCACTGGTGTAAAATCAACAGAAAATTGACTCAGGAAGCCTATTAAATGTCATATGCTTCCCTGTCAAAGAGAATATCTTAAGAATGAAGTTTAGTAAAATTAAGTTGAAAAAGCACATATAACTAAATTTAAGAGAACATTTACTATTAATAAATGATTTGATCTACTGGCCCAGAAAAGGTACAATCTGGGATACTTAAAAAAAATTTTTAATGTTTTTATTGATTTCAGAGAGAGGAAAGGTGAGGGAGAGAGATTAGAAACATCAATGATGAGAGAGAATCATCCATTGGCTGCCTCCTGCACAAATACTTTGGTTTTTATAGCTTTTTATAGCCTTTATGTTTTTCACATATCTTTAATACTCTACTTGATTCTCCTTTGCTATTACCTATAATTCTTTGTGTTTTTTGTTTGTTGTTTTGTTTTGTTTTGTTTTGTTTTTAGTGGTTCCTTTAGGACTTACAGTATATAACTTTAACTTATTGCAGCCTGTCTTCAAGAAATATTATTCTGCTTCATATATAAGAATTTTACAACACTATATACTCCATTACTCACATTTGAGTTGCTGTTGTCACATGTCTTTGTTCTGCATGGGTCATAACCTCAGAATATAATTATTTGTGTTTTGAACAGCCAGTTACCCTTTAAAGACATTTTTTAAAATAATAGAGAAATATCTTCAGTGCTCTTTATTCCTTTGTATATGTGCAGGTTTTCATCTTGAATCATTTTTCCTTCTGCCTATAGGACTTCTTTAATCATTTCCTATTAGTGCAGGTGACAAAATTCTCCAGCTTGTCTACTTATCAACAACTCTTTATTTAGTTTTGTTTTGGGAACAATATTTTCACTAGATATAGAATTATAAGGTAATTTTGTTTTGTCTTTTCCTAGGACTTTAATGATGTTCCTCCACTATCTTTAGTCTTGCTTCATTTCTATCAATAAGTCTATTGTCATTGTTTGATTTGTTTTCTAGTGTTCTTTTCCCCTCTGGTTGCTTTTAAATTTTCACTAAATTAAGGTAATTTGATTATTCCATAGCTTGGTGTAGTTTTCCTTCTGTTTCTTATGTTTAGGATTTTTTTTTAATTTATTGGTTCTGTGCGATTATATTTTTCATCAGATTCGATAATTTTCAGCCATTATATCTTCATTTATTTTGTCTATCCTTTCCCTTCTTTGGGAACTGTAAGTACACATTTATTAGACTGCATATAGTCATCCTATAACTCACTGCTGTGCTGACTCTCCCCACCCTTCTGTGTTTCATTTTGGATAGTTCTTATTGCTCTCTCTTTATGTTTACTAGAGATTTCTTCTGCAATGTCTCATCTGCTGTTAAATGTATCCTGTGATCCAGTGTAATTTTTACTTCAGACATTGTAGTTTTACTTCTAAGTGTTTGATTTGGGTCTTTAAAAAAAAAAAAAAAATGTCTTCTGTACCTTTATTTAACCTGTTTATTTTCCCCCCAAACATATGGACTAAAGTTATAGTAACTTTTTTAAAAAATATATTTTTATTCGTTTCAAAGAGGAAGGGAGAGGGAGAGGGAGAGGGAGAGGGAGAGGGAGAGAGAGAGAAACATCAATGATGAGAATCATTGATCAGCTGCCTCTTGCACACCCCCTACTGAGAATCAAGCCTCCAACCTGGGCATGTGCCCTGCCCAGGAATAGAGCCATAACCTCCTGGTTCATAGGTCAATACTCAACTACTGAGCTATGCCAGCCGGGCTAGTTATAGTAACTTTTAATATCCATGTTTATTAATTCTGCCACCCATGTTGCTAGCAAAGCTGTTTCTGTTGATTGCTTTTTCTCCTCCTCTTTATTGGTGGTGTTTTCCAGTTTGTTCCTTTTCAGTCTTGCTGTTAAGCTTTATATGGGACCAGAATAGAGTTTAGTCTAGGACTAATTTTGTGTAATGACCGAGATAAAAATCTTTTGAATGCTCTGCTTTATGTCCTTTGAACAGGAGGTTTTCCTCAGATTGATTAGGAATGAGAACTGTTTCCAGCCTGTGTGAGCTCCATGGTACTACTCCCTGGCCTTGGGTACTTCCCTCGCATGTGTGTGCCTATCAGTATTCTGCTGAAGAAGCAAGCGAGTCTTTGCAGATGTCTAACTCTCCTCCACATAGATCTCTCCTCTCTCGTACTTTGCCCTGCTGCGAATGCTAGTCTCCTTGGCCTCCGCAGATGCACAGCTCTATCATCTCAACTCCGCTCAATTCATGGAGGCCCCCTCTTCTGCCTGGCTTCCTCTCCTGTGACCTGGAAATCCCCTCCTGATAGTCAACTTGGGCAATTGTGAGGTTCATTCGTTTCCCTTCTCTCAAGGGTCACTGTCCCATACTGCCTAAAGTTCAATGTTTAGAACTCATTGTTTTAGTCTTTTTAGCTCCAGTGTTTTAGTCTTTTTCATGGGAATGGTGAAATCTAGCCCCTGTTCCTCCATCTTGGCCAGAAGTGACGTTTTATTTATTGCTAATATTTTACTGTTGCTTTTAAAGCCTCTTTCAGCTTTATTTTCTGCTCCCTAGCTCCGTCCACACCTTTTCTCTAACAGACCCTGTGCTTCTCCCTCCCCCTCATGCCTGGCTCATGCCAGTTCTTGCCCCACCTTCTCCTTTTCCCCAGTTCTTGCTTCTTGGTGTTTGCTCATGTGCCTATTCCTTGTTTTTCCCTCCCATTTGATGCAGAATTGAGTATTTTCTTCCTGTTGCATTTCTATCATTATATTGTTTTCAGTGTTCAAGTGTACATGTGAATCTGCTGATTTTCCCTGTTGAGCATGTGTGTTGGCCCACACATGCACAGTGTTAAGCTCTTGAGGGCGTCTTGGGCTTGTCCACTTCTAGTGCTTATACATAGGCCCATGGGTACATAACAAATATAGGTGTGCTATATATGTTTGTTGAAATGAATTGTTTTTCTCCTCTCCCTCAAAATCAGGCCACAGAAGAAGTTTCCAAAAATCTGGTTGCCATGAAAGAAATTCTCTATGGCACAAATGAAAAAGAGCCGCAGACGGAAGCAGTGGCACAGCTCGCTCAAGAACTGTATAATAGTGGGCTCCTGAGCACCCTGGTGGCAGACCTGCAGCTCATTGACTTCGAGGTAAGAAACCAGCCTCTAGCTTTTTACGAACAGCACCTCATTCATAGTCCTTTTCCATGAGCCTCCCTCCTTTGAAACATCTGAAGATTCCTGCCAGGCTCCTCGCTCAGGAGCTGCTGACCTATAAGCATGCCCACACTGCCTCCTATTAGCAGAGCCAGGGCAGGAACTCAAGGGTGTCCCAGGCTTTTCTCCCCTTATTTTACCACATCATACAGGAAGGTTCTTAGGTATTCATTATACCCTTTTATTTAGGTTGTTTGTAATTAACAGCTGCTGTTTTAGATACATAATTCACTGGCCCTTGGTTCTCAAGGAATAAACAATCTAAAGAAGACCTAGAATGTTAGAATTTTTGAGGTAGATGAGATCTCCGAGAACATCATTATGGTGGTTATTATTTTGGTTTTGGTTTTTAACTGTTGAGGATTCATTATAGCAGAGATCATATATGTTTTGCTTGGCACAGCTTTTAAATGTTTAAACGATGGTGTCATTTAAGTAACAGGAGGCATACACAATTTTGAATTTCTGGCTTCTCTTGAAACTTTGGACTCTGGTAACATTGGGCCTGTAGTCCTCCATGGCCCCTCAGCTGGAGCAGAGGAGCAACTACCCGTGACGCAGGAGATCCACACTTGGGTGTGTGGCAAACCACGCAGCCTACTTTTTTCCTTGCTTTACCCATTTGCATTTCCTGCCCAGCTCTAGTATACTTTTGAGATTGTTACCCAAACTTACACAGCTGATCATGCCATGTAATTTAGTCAGGGAACAGTGAGAATAATGGTCCTTGGTACCAGTCTGAGAAGTATATATACATATATAATATACATGTGTACACACACACACACACACAGTACTGAGGGGCTCTGGCATGGTCATGATTCTTGATTCTTTATTATGGGTATGCTTTATGAAAGCCCCAGTGTCTATCATCCTGAGTGTTTGGATGTTTATCCAGGTGCTTGCAAAACCAGGAGAGAAAATAGTGGGCAATATAGCCAGATCCAGTTTTGGAGAGGGATTTGAGGGTGGGTTCAGAGGTTACTCCAATATAATATTGATAATAAAAGAGAATAAAGTTTTATTTCTATCCTGTAGAACAAGTAGAATTGATATTTCCATTTATGTAGCTGATTTCATGTATTTTTAATCGTGTATCAAATTTCAACAACAGTTTTTATTTCCTCTGCAATGTTGGAAATGCACTGGGTCATCTAGTTTCTTCTCTGTCCACCCATCCCAGTCCCCAGACTGGACACGGAATTTAATATTCACTTGGGGCTTTAGAGACACAAATTTTAAAAAAGTGTGTGCCCCTGAAGACTGGTTCTTAGCAGTTGCTATTTCAGCTCCTGACCTAGGTGGGCCACAGGGTGATCTCTGGTGCTGGAAAGCTCTCGCTCACTCCATGTCTCCTGCAGGCTTGTCAGGCTCTTAACAAGTGGCCATTCTGAAACATCTCTTGCCATCCAGTGCTGCACTTGTTACTTTCTTATACAGCTTTTCAGTTTTACTGTAGAGCAGTAATGTCCGTCTATTTTGTTTAGTCAAGTACAGTGGTGTAATTCTGACCTCTGAACATTATGTATACTTAGCACCTTCATTATTAATCTATATATTATTTCCTAAGTAGGCCTAGTTTAATAGGACATGTGTCTACTTACCATTAAAACTCAGCTTCTTATAGAATTCTTTCATTTTATTATATTAACAGCATACACTTGCTCCTTTCTTCACTATAAAAGGAAAATATGTGCAGTGTTTACAACTCATCCTATTTAGGCTGCTTGTTCCATTTGGGTGGGAATGAGGTTCCTGAACATTGTAAACAGAGTAAAGTTTTGTTTTTCATATCTGAGCATGATTCTGAGAGAAATGGTTGAAATTATATGTAGTGAGATTTCACTTTGTCAACACATTGCTCAGGTTAAAAATTGTATACTATTAAAACTTAGAATTTAAAACTATAAAGAAAATGTAATGTCTGTGAATGTTTTAAGGTCATATATTTGTACATAATTATAAATATTCAATGCCTTGATTTGAGTGTATCTGGGAGGGTGGATGGGCTTTTTAATGTTTAGTCAGGTGAATGTTTTAATGATTGTATTCCTAATAGGGCAAAAAAGATGTGGCTCAAATTTTCAACAATATTCTCAGAAGACAAATTGGCACAAGAACGCCTACTGTTGAATACATCTGCACCCAACAGAATATTTTGTTCATGTTATTGAAAGGGTATGTACAACGTAATAAAATTTATATTCTCAGTTGAGAAATTAAAAGGAAAGATGGTCTTGGGCAAAAACAGGATGGTGAATATGGGAAAGCATTTTCTCTATGGTTCCCTCAGCTCGAATTTTTATAACTCTTGAACATATTTCCCTCCTTAAAATCCAGCCTGTGAGCTAAACTGAACTTGAAAAAAAATGCCCTTAGAAGTTTAAAGGTAGATGAATCATGAGGCTTTAAATTTTCAAATTATACGTAACTGAAGAATAAAAGTCCTCTGTGGTCTTCTGTTCTCTAGGATTTAAAAAGTTAAGTGTATGAAATGTCAGTTAAATCATGTATTTAAAGACATCTTTGGATACACCTGCACCCTGTAAGGCAGTAAAAGCTCCCTAGTAATTGGAGCTGTATAGCTTAACTCAGTCAGTCAACAAAGAACATGGTTGTGAAGTAGTACCCTTTGCTTTTTACGTGTGTCCTCTCACTAACCCATTTAATTTGGTAAAGCACAGTGTATCTCCCTGGAATTACTCCTGGACTAAGCAGGCGTTGTGTTTGGGTAATTTGTAAGTTAAAAAAAAAATTTAAAAAAATCCCAAAGCCTAAAAGCTTAAACTTCAAAACAAAACCGATCCTTCATCACCGAGCCTCCCTGATTGGTAAGGTTACCTCCTGTCAGTTCACACCAAGCTTGTTGGCCAGCTTTGGGTATGGTGTGTGTCTGCCCCAGCATTGGTGATGTCCTGTTAAATTGGCAGGCAGGCATTTTACTGGCATGGCTGTTGGTGTGAATCAGCTTGCTCCTCTACCACTAGCTGTACCACTTGTCTCACTTGATTCCTATCTCTGGGGTTTAACACTTCCCTCAAGTTCAAACTTGCTTAGACAAAGCATGAGTCAAAGCACGGACACCAGCTTTCTGTTTCTTTTTTTTCTATTTCTAACTATCTGTGTTGCTTCTTCACATGTTGCCATACAGAACTTTTGGTATCTAATTTTTTTGTTGTGTCAACACAGAGTTTTGTGTATAAACATGTAGCGAATAGTCTGAAATTTTGGTGTTTTTTTTTTTAAATATATTTTTATTGATTTCAGAGAAGAAAGGAGAGAGAGATAGAAATAGTGATGAGAGAGAATCATTGATTGGCTGCCTCCTGCATGCCCCTATTGGGGATCGAGCCCACAACTCCAGGCATATGCCCTTAATTGGAATTGAATCCAGGACCCTTTAGTCCACTGGCTGACGCTCTATCCAGCCAGCTAAGGCAAATTTTAGTGTTCTTCAGGCAGCGTCAGGGGGTCTTTATGTACTTTTAAAGCTAATAATTTGCTTTTATATAAGTAGCCATCATTATTAAAATTTATAAATTAGTTATTTCTGTTTACATTTTCCCTTTAGAATAGCCAAGGGTTTGAACAGAACATTGTTTAACATCACGTAAGTAAGAATACTAAGATAACAATTTAAAGAAAAAGTTTAAAGCTCTCATCCATCCAAGATAGGCAGAGCAGAAACCTCAGCTGGAAAGAAGAGAAGACACAGAATACTGCTGGTGTTGGGACCCTTTCTAGCCTGTATGGTGGAACATATACATCAGACTGGAGGGGGTAATACAACAAACCCTTCCTCCATTTTCCAGCTTCAGCAGTTCTTAAACTGTGTCCTTGTTTCATGTATTCCTCCCTTTTTTCCTCCTCAGACAATGTCACTTCAGTTTGCATCCCTAGTAAGATGATACATCTAAGAATTTTTTTTAACATGGTCGTAATACCATTTATAAATCTAACATTATCTAATGCTTTCTTGATGTTTTCTTGATTTTCACTCCACAAAAAAATGGCATTTTCCGTTAGTTTGTCCAAGTCAAGTTCTAAGCAAAGCCGACAAACTGAATTTGGCTGATATGATTCTTATTTAACTCCCTTTTCATCTGTAATAGCTCCTGACCCCTTTTTAAAATATACCATTTATTTCTTGAAGTAACTGGGTCATTTTATTGTGTGAAAAAAAAATCACAAATTTTATGTCCAAACTACCCCTTCTTGGACCATTGAGAGCTCCTCTTCTTCAAGTTGGCTCCTTTTAGCAAGACCGCATCAGTCTTTGATGTTTCTGTGCTTTTAGCACATGATGTCCCTGGCTTACTTTTTGTGAGTTCTGTCTTCGGTCCTGGAAATAGCCATTTCTTTAAGGAGCCCTGAGAACTTGCTTTTAAGATTGTTGTCCTTCTGTTGGTCAGTTAGTCTAGACAACTTCCATAGGATGTGATTATCTGCTCTAGCTATGCATACTTCCAGCTATTCGGGTTGCCATTGTTAATTTGTATTTGAAAATACTCTTTTTTCTAGTATTAGACAGCATCTGGAGGCAGCTTCTTCTCTGGTGATTTAAATGTTAATATGCTTTCCACTCGAGTGCTAACAGGTTATAGAGCATAACTGTTTGCCTTGAAACCATTGGTTTATACTTTAATCATGTAAGATAAGCTTGACAAACTGCCATCAAAACCTGCCCAACTTGTTGTACAAAACTGTATTACCCCTGAATTCTAGTCTCCTTACTAAAGATCAGCAAAGATAAATTGTATGATTAGCCATTTTCTGAGCAGACATTTTAATCACAGTCAGCCATCTAGTTGACTTACAATAAATGATACAAAGCCATGTGGTTTTTATATGAACCTATGTACAACAAAAGGATAATACAACATACAATTGTTATGCTACTAGATAACAATTAGTACTATAGGATTTCATGGGATAAAATGGGGAAAGGGGTTAGTCAATAAGGCAAGGGTTGGTAAAAGATAACATAAGAGGGAATTTCCAGATGGTTTAAATTGGCAGAAAAAAAGCGAGTAGGTACAGGGGCACAATAGAACATAGAAGAGGGGCTGCTTTATGGCAGAGTGGGAGGTGACACTGTGCCAGAGGAATAGATCTGATGCAAAGCCGAGGTAGGCATTAAGCCCCTAAGGTTGTCTTTATTTGATCAGCAAGAAGAAATCATTTTTAACTCCTAAGCTGGAAGTGCTATTGATATACTTGTGTGTTGGGTAGATTTGGTAAGACAGAGCTTGAACATAGGTGCTGGTTAGGGTCACTTGCATTTCTCTAGATCTGCATTAATGCCACTGTGGGAAAAAGATAACAGTAACTGAAACTAAGATATTACAAAGAAGCAGTTAAAAAGCATTGGAGATGGGAAGATTGGGAGCAGAGAAAGAGGGTAAGGTTGGGCCCGGGCCAGTGTCGCTCAACTTGTTGGAGCATTGTCTTGTGTACCAAAGGATCACAGGTTTGATTCCCAATCAGGGCACATACCCAGGTTGCAGGTTTGATTCTCAGTTGGAGCTCCCTGGGAGGCTACTGATGGATGTTTCTCTCTCATATCAATTAGAAAAAAAAAAGGGGGGGGGGGGCATATGTAATATTTTCAACAATGAAGACTTATTTTCTAAAAATTTGAAAAAAAGTCGTAGTTAGAACTGTGTTTTCCAATACAGTACCTACTAACCACATGTAATTATCTTATTTCAAATTAATTTAAGTTAAATGACATTTTAAAATTTAATTCCTTAGTCATTTAAGCCAAATTGCAGGTGCTCAGTGGCCACATGTGCCTAGTAGCTACCATAATGGACAGCACAGATAAATCCTTTACCTTTATCATAGACAGTTCCCTCAAAACTTTCAGACTGGGGCATCAAAAATACAGTAGTGATGCCAACTTAAATGGAAGCAGGGGTGGTGGCCTCTTTTATGAAGGGAGATGAGATTTTATTTTAGACATGTGAAGTTATTAGTAGACCTTTAGCTGAAGTTGCCCAGAGACAACAGAAATGTATAGTTCAGATGTAGACCTGAAGAGAAGACCTATAGGAGTCATGGTGGAAGCAAGGAGATTGTATGGGTGTTTGCTAGCAAGACTGGAGGCCAAGCCAAAAAAAAAAAAAAAAAAAAAAAAGAACAAAGGAGTAGAAAGGAGAATTGGAAGAGTTTTTTTCTTTCTTTTTTTTTTTTTTCTTTGAAAGCGAGAGAGATGTGAAGATCAGCACTGCCAGGACTCTGTGTTAGGAGAAAAGGTGGATTTGTCCAGGAGAGGTCTTTGCTGGTAGGATGTTGGGAAATGGAATTTGACTGCAGGAGATTGTGTGGGAAAGACATTAAACCATGCAAGCAGCTTGGAAGGAAATAAAGGGAAAAGCTATGTGTTTGAGCTGAACACAGCACAGCCGGTCTGAGGGGGTTGGTGCATGTCAGAAGGGAAAGGCCTGCTGGGTGAAAGGGAAATGAGATTTTCTTTCTGGTCATAGGGAAGGGAGACTCTAGAAACACCAAGATGGATGTAGAGGAAGGCTGCATGTGTCTCCCCTCTGCCCACTTAGAGAGTCCTGACTGACATCCTCAGGACCAGGCTTTCAAGTCTCTAGGGCTTAGATGTTGCCAGTAATCTTGAAAGTTTTATTTTAAGTATTAACTTGAAACAGTGAAATACAAGTGCTGTACATGTGTTAGAGCCTTTTATAGACTATGAATTTAGAGAACTATTTCATATTGTTTTTTTATTCAGCTTTTGGTTTTTCTGAAGTATTGAGAGCACCCCACATGTAAAGCTAACCTTTATATGAGACCCTAAATGCTTCTTTTCAAAATTTTTACCTGAAGTGAGTTTTTATTTCCATGATCACTCTCATAGCTGTTATTTTTCTTTGGGTTGAAGCTGTCTTCACCAACTAATGTGTGTGTGCCCACTAGAGAAAATTCACTGAGCACATGTTGTACATGAGAGATACTGTATGTAATCTGCTCTGGTCACTCAGGGCACTTCCTGAAGTGTCCTTTTCTAAAAATGTGAACTGTTCAGTTGGAGTTTTAAAAGAGAAATCATGTTTGTTTGTTTTCTTTTTGCAGGTATGAATCTCCTGAAATAGCTCTAAATTGTGGGATAATGTTAAGAGAGTGCATCAGACATGAACCACTTGCAAAAATCATTTTGTGGTCAGAACAATTTTATGATTTCTTCAGATATGTCGAAATGTCAACATTTGACATAGCTTCTGATGCATTTGCCACATTCAAGGTAACATATATAAAAACTATAGACTTTTAACTATGCTTGCAACTCCGATTAACAGGTGTGCCGTTTTTCCTAAACCTTCTCTACCGCCCTTGTCTATATACTGCTGCCCCCTAGTGGGAATAAAGAAGACAGCATATATACAAGGGTGTGGCAAAAGCAGGTTTACAGTGTATGTGAAAATTTATTCTTGTGTTATTTATTAAATACTGTATTATTCTTCCATACAAACAGCTGTAAACCTGCTTTTGCCCTACCCCTGTATATGTATGTATACAAATAAAGTCACAGTTTTAAAGGGTAGAAAAGTTATAATTTTTAGGCAGGATATAGTTTTTTGTTAAATTACCCATCAAGTACAGTAATAGATATAACAACCAGGTTTTTCTCCTGTGTTTGGTTAAGCACCAGATGAAGTAGTTGGCTTCTGTTCAGGCCCAAGGGAACCAGGGACTTATCTCTCCCATCTCATGCTCATGCCAGAGTTTGTTTATTAACCACAAAGGGTGATGGTGGGCAAAATCAATTGCACTGTTCAAATTATTTTGTAGTCTCTTCCCTTTGTGCCTTATCTCCCTGTTGTATATTTGTTTAAATTAAATGCACATATATAGGATACCATTGTGCAACACGCACATTTTTGTTTTGAATTGCAAGTTTCTGTGCTGTTTAAGGTATATAAACAAGGCAGTAATCTTTATAATCTTTCTGTTAACATTCCCTTATGTAAAATGTGTGACATCTTAAGTCAGTATTTAGAACTGATATTTTAATATAATCAGAATTTAGTATACTAACCTGCAGATTGCTATGTTCAAAAACTGTGAATACTATTACAGTGACAAGTGGCTGCTTCTCTTATAAATGTTCAGTTTTATGAATATAAAGAGTGCATGAGGTGAGTCTTTGGTTTCTGGGTAAAATATGTCCCTCAAATAGGATGAAATCCTAGCACCTAGGCCACTAGGATTTCACATTGAATGAGAATAAAATAATAGGGTGAAAGGTCTTGGAATTTATTTTCTCAAAGCCATCAGAAAGGGTATCAGAAGCCTTAGGTAAGACCTCAGCTATTTCTATGTCAGTGTACACAGCAAAATGAAATTCATTTCAGATGATAGCATAGAATAGTAAATGTGACGCTTAGTTCCACCGCCCTTGGTGTGGTAGGACTCTTGCTTAGGATGGAGGGAATGCCCCACTCAAAAGCAGCAGACCTTTATGAAGGGAGGTATGGTAGCATCATGTGTCAGCACAAAGAGACACTCCTGTTTGAAATAAAAGCCGTGAGCCCAAGAGTGCAGCTCTGGGAGCAGAAGGGTAAGCAGAGAAGAAAGAGGGCAGCAGTGGTGTGGGAAAATGCAGCCAGACTGCTGGACCAAGGAGGACATGAATGGCATGCTCCTGGCACAGATGGCAAAATTGACCAAGAGGTGAGAGAAATGTGCTAATTATATGCCAGAAATGTGATTCCCAGTGTCTGACAAAATTTTGATTGGCCTTGCTGATTATTTTATCTCAATTAGGGCTGCTTCTTTGAATTAAATTCATACTGAGGTGATGGAATCACTGTGGTAAAGCCAACCTATCAGATCAGGTCATGGTAGCCACAGAGGGAAAGACTGGGCAGAGTCAGGTGGTAGTCCTTACCAGAAGAAGGGAAACTTTAATAGCAGAGGTGTCTAAGGATGAGCTCCAGAGGAGAAAGCATGGAGAAGCTGGCTTGAATTCTGTATCTCAGCTGCTGCTGGTTGCAAGGACAGTGGAAAGCTCATTAAAGACAGCTCTCCAAGAAATGAAAAAGACAAGAGGCCAAAATCAAGACAAGAGAAAGAGAAATAGACCTAGCAATCAGACCAAAGCTACCTCCCCACCCCTGCCTAAAAGAAACTCCACCTGAGTCAGGCAGGGGCCAGTCTCAGCCTCACTCCACAGGCGCTGACGGAAGGAAGGGGCCTGCCTCTCCCCCAGTTTACTCGTGTCCTCTTTGCTGAGAATACTTTCATAAGGAGAAAGAGAACAGGTCCATGGTTCGTGCTCTCCTTTGAGAATGTGACCAGAGCAACTTCCCAAAAATGCAGTCTGCACACAAAAACTTTCCAGTAATGCAGCTCATCTATAACTCTGGATTCAAAGCCCCTGGAAGAGGGCCGAGTCTTAAAAGGAAATTAAAACTACCTGCTCTAAATGTGTCCTAAGATTTGTAGTTCAAATGAACAGGTACTGAGATAGTTAAATCAGTGGTCCAGTATTTGTTAGTGATTATTTTTAAGGAATTAGGAGATTGGGAGGGGCATCAGAAGGCCAACAAATATATTTCCAATTTTCCAGAGTAAAAGAAGGTAGATTCCCCAGAGAGGCTGGTGGAGCTTGCAGCTTGATGGTATACCTGTGTAAGGTTCTAGAAAGTATTTCTAAAGAGATGATATCTGAGCATTTTGGAAAGGAAACCGAGTGCCCACAGCCAGCATGGATTCACTAAGAGTAAGTTCAGTCATACTAATCTCATTGATGCCAGTAGATCAGGGGCCTAAAGACATGGCTGCCTGGGTTCAATTGCCAGCTCTGCTGCTGATTGCACCTGTGTCTTCATCTGCTGAAATGTGGGTAATAATACTAGTGTGTCAGGTTATTGTGGCCTGACACAGTATGAGCGCTATAAATAATAGTAGGATTCCTTTATGAGGAGGATATACTGGATGTCAAATAATTATACAGACCTATTTTCATGGAAACAATAAAAAGATTAGGAGCTAGATGGAGGGAGTTTCAATATGGTGATTTGCAACTAATTAAATGCCATATCCATATAGTGCTGGAAAATGGATCACTATCACCCTGGAGAGAGAGACTAATGGATCTCTGCTCAGCCAAGTCGAACATTATTAATGACTTGGATAGAGGGTGACAAGGCATACTTACCAAATGTGTCAGTGACAGCCATTAAGGGCAAGATAAATAACAGTGAGCCTAAATAAGGCTTCATAAATCCAGAGAGGCCAGAATATTACAGGATAAAGTTAATTATAGATAACCAAAGTTGTCTACTTGAGGACCCAACCATATAAATATGGATGGGGGAATAGGCATGATAATAATAGTTAATGCCAACTATAATAGTTAACTAAAATATAGGCAAGTTATCATATTCGAACAATCCTATGAAGGAAGTATTGTTATCTCCTTTACAGATAAGGACACTGAAGCTTAGAAATGCCGAGTAAAGTCAGACAATACATGGGCAAGCCAGAATTTGAACCCAGGCAGTCGGACTAAAGAGCCCAATATGAGTAAACAAAATTCTGGATTTATCCATTTAAATTGGCAGTTTGATGATGCTGTCCCAGAGCTACATGTGAGCACAAAGTGTGTCACTTAAGGAGCTGTTGATGGTCTCACCCCACTATAAGCTTACCAGGTAACAGCACATAAATGTGTTCCATTCCAGGCGCTACACTTTAAGAGGCACATAGACAAATAGATGACTTTCAGAAGACATTAGATGGTGAGGGGGACTCAGAACCTGTCATTCGAGGAGTGGTTAAAGGAACTGGACCTATTTAGCCTGAAGAAGAGAAGACTCGGTAGGGATTTGCCATGAGAGCACTGCTGTATTTGAAGTGGGGTTCTCTGGAAAATGGATTAAACCTGTTTCTGGAAGTATCTGGGGCATAGGCTTTGACTCTCAGCCAGGAAAAAAATTCTAACTCTTGAGAGCTCCAGAGGTGAACCATACAGTTAGAAGAATTGAGTTTTGTGTCCTTGGGCATACATATTCAAGCATGAAACAGGGAATTGAGCCAAGTGACTTGCTCTGAAAATCAGCCCCTGGCTTAGCAGCATTTCTTCCTGGATTCCAGAGCTGTCTTTGTCACATATTTGTGGCCCAAACTTACATATTTTTTAGGAATCTTTAAATTCAACTACTCTAAAAGCTGGCTGCTTAAACTGCTGGACATGGGAAATGATTCCTGACCTTTCTTCCAAGTTATACAAGGCCTTAGATGTACTGGCATTTAGGTAGGTGGGAAATGAGAAGTCCTTTTCTTTACCCCCCCCCCCCCCCCCCCCCGCTGGCCAACCTAGCAACTCTGCATGTCTGGGACCACATGCACCTATAAACTTTGCAGATTACTGAGCAGATACTGACCTCAAAACGATTTCTCTTCATCTTCTACTCTGTTGGTTTCTTTCCCCACACCCTGGTTTGGGCTATCCATAGCTTTCCACTGTAGTCTTAAGGTAAAGTTCTTCGTCTCTCAGTAGACAGAGGCACAGTCTAAGTCCCCATCTCCTCGTTTCCCAACTTAGTAAAAGGCTCTCAGCACTGCTCCTTTCCCACTAATGTTTACTGTCCCCTCCAGGCCCTGCCCTGCCATGGCCTCTCTTAACAAGGGCTTTCATTCTTTGGGGCCCTGGGCTAGCTCCTACTTTAGTAGTCTCAGCGCGCCCCTTTTCTCTCTCTCTTACCAAGGCCATTGAGATTTGATTCCTAAATTGGCAATGGTTTCCTGAGTTTCATGTTCTCTTTAAACCAGATGATAACAAGGAGACTCCCCTAAATTGGGAGATGTGGGCTGTCCCCCTTTTCATGTGTCGCTCCACCGTGAGCCTCATGCTCCTGCTTGAGATACAGCCTCAGAGAAAATAGTCCCCTTACTAGGACCTGTTTTTTAGAGCAATACTTTCTACCTGCCTGCTCCTAAGTACACAGCCCCAAGTGAGAGGCACTGTTTCTCAGACCCCCTCCTCTGGTCTCCGTGGTCAGATTATGACCGAGCAGTAAGCATTCGGCTTCTTTTGCTGTACTTCCTCCTACTGGCCTCCAGAATGACATCCAGTCTCATACAGATCCTGACTCATTAATCCCTTAATTCGCTTATTCATATGTTTGTTCAGTTCATTCCACAAGCCTCTCAGTGCCTGCCCTGTATTGGGTGCTGTTCTATAGATGTGTGGTTCAGCAGTGAGCCAGCCAGACAGACCCCCTAATCCTTGAGGCTCTTACACAGGGAGACCGTCATAAACAGGCCACAGTAGCACGTTAGAAGGAGGGAAGTGATCCTAACAAGCATAGCTGGTATATGCCCCTAACATTCTCATGTTCCTCTCTCCTTTACATCTGACCCCATGATATACTGAGATAATATCAGTTCTTCTCCCCCTACCATCTCTCCTTCCCTATCTGAGTACCTCATAACATTTCTTACCCAACTTTTGAGGTATTCAGAGAAGCTCCAGGGTTTCTGTTTTGCCAGTTTATTCCCTAAGAGGGATTTAGGATAAATTGGTTAGGACTTTCCTGAACATACAGTACACAACCTATCCAGCAGTTTAAACACCTGTAAATCTTCAGGTAGAATTAGAAGCCGCCTTAACAAGCATACGTTGAACCTTGATTAGTGGGACATTTTCCCAAACATGTTCACTGATGTTGGTTCATTCATTTATTAAATATTCAACCCTTACTATGTGCTGGGCACTGCATAGGTGCTGGGGAATTTAAAGATTTAAAAGAGACATGAGCCTTGTGTTTACAGAATATGCAGTCTGTCACGAGCCTTGTGTTAACAGAATGTGCAATCTGGCAGGAAACATTCATCAGGTCGTCTAACAGATGACCAGCCGTACTGGCCGTCTGGCGCCGTCTGGAAGAGCTCCCTGTGGAAGTGACAGTGGAGCTCCGAAGGTAGTAGGTACCTAGAGAGGGGCAAGCCTGTGCCATGGAGGCCATTCAGGGAAAGGTGCTGACAGCAGGCGACAGAGTCCCCTGCATTATCTCCTGCTGCCAGATGGAGCCCCATGAAGCAACCAGAGCTGTGGTGCTTTCCATGTTGGCTTGACCGTGGAACATTTCTCAGAGCTTTCCCATTTCCATGGCACTTGGATGTACTTAGGAAACTCTAGTTCAATGTAACCTTGGTAACTCAAGCATAAATAGCAAAGAATACAAGTTAAAGAAAGTTGGTGGTGAGAGAGAGATTATTGATACCAACCTCTCCGGTAGAGGGTAGAGGACTCTAAAAGAATGTAATTCATTGATTGACCCAAATATTTTTTAAAATATATTTTATTGATTTTTTTACAGAGAGTAAGGGAGAGAGATAGAGAGCGAGAAACATCTATCAGCTGCCTCCTGCACTCCCCACTGCGGATGTGCCTGCAACCAAGGTACATGCCCTTGACTAGAATCCAACCCAGGACCCCTCAGTCTGCAGGCCAATGCTCTATCCATTGAGCCAAACCGACTTTGGCAGTTGACCCAAATATTTTGACTGGCCATTCCTGCTGTAACATGTTCCCCTACCCTTACCTTTTTACTCCTTCCCCCCTTCTCCCCCCCCCCCACCCAACACATACACACACAACCTGGTGAGACCAAGGTTAATCATTGCTAACTTCCAGGTCCTTGGAGGCAGGTACCACATTTTTCTTCTTTGTAACCCTAGCAACTAGAACGTTACCTGGCACATGGTAGATATTTTCTGAATGAATGATCCTTGACTTGTTTCCAGGAAAATTCGTGGGGTGAGACCTAAGCTCTATTTTATAGTAATGCACACTTAGACTCGAGGTCTTACTGATTTTTGTTCCTACATTCCTGCAGTGTTATTCTGTCTACTTAGGAGCTGATGTTTATAAAATGCCAGGGCTTTTCAAAAACATTTTACCTCTGCAAAAGGTTACATTAGATATGAAACTGAGCAATTAAATTCAGGAGGAAGAAAATGGAACCTCCATTCTTCTAATTAAAGAAATTTCCTTTTTCTCCACTAGGAGCAGTTTAAATTTGACATTTTGTTGCAGTTATTTACTTTTATTTCACTTCAATTCTTTATTCTCTTTCTTTGAACATATATTTCCATTGCCTTATATGTTTGTTTTTAAAATTTTCCTGCTAAGAGCTATAGATGTGACTTATCATAATCATTAAAATCACAATTTCACATTATTGATTTTATTTACTCATACAAAATCAATGTCCTCAATACAATTCATGTTCAATTTAAGTATAGTAATTTTAACAACAGCTTTTATTAGGTAAAATGGCGTGGCATGTTTTAGGATTCTCTTTTCTAAAAGAACCTGAATGCAAGAACAACTTTTAACAATATATTTCCTTTTTCTAGGATTTGCTTACAAGACATAAGTTGCTCAGTGCAGAATTTTTGGAACAACATTATGATAGAGTAAGTATATGAAATACTATTTTATAAAAACAAATTTTAAGTTTTATTACTTACAAAAATGAAAGGTTAAATTAGATTTTGTACCAGACTGTTTATTTTGCTAATGTAAAGTTATAAGGTAGTTCCATAACCATTTCTCTGCTGAAACCAGATTTAGCACGTTACCTGCTCAGAAGCAGACTTTATCTGTTTGATTGACACGCTGCCATTTGTATCTTTTCTTGATTTAGAAGAGGAAAGTAAAGCACTTTGGTGCTGAATAATAATACATGGTTGAGATAAAAGAAAAATATCATTTGACTTCTTAACTTTCCTTTCCATTTGTGCTACTAAATAGGGGGAAAAGGAGGCAGCACCTGATAGGGTGAGACGAGCTTTTGCCTAGAGGCAGGACCCGGTTCTGCCCCTCTCTGCAGCTGACAGCTTGTCACCTCCAAGGCCATTACCACTCGGGGACTCAGAAGTCCATCCTTATTTCTAAAATGAGGACATTGGATAGCCCAGCAGTGAGGTCAATTGGATGTCATACTTCCTGGTAATAGAGTCCCCTGAGATTTATACCTGATTCTAGTGCCAGTTCCTAAATCTAGCATTTTGCAGATCTCTACTCATGCTGTGTCCTTCCCTTTTTATCCCCTAAGAATCCTTCTTTCCTCCCCCCATTTCTAAGTGAAATTCCTCCCATTATTCAAGTTTGAGCCCAAGCCTACTTTCTGTAGGACCTCTTACAGTATAATACAGAATGAGTTTCTCTCTCTTTTCTGTTCTTAATTATTTTCTCTCTTTGATGTGTTGAAAGAACAGGTAACTTTTCTTTGTGTTTATGCTTTGGACTAGTTGAGTTCTCCTCTGTAACGAATATGAATTTGCTAAAATAACACCAAGAAAAGATAGCTGACTCAACAGTGTGGAAACGGTTGGGGAAAGGGAGTTGTTTTGTGAATATGGAGTTTGGGTGACAGAAGAGGACCAGATTTTAGCTATATATGGGCCTGTCTAGAGCTGGGAGGAGATCAGTCCCAGGAGTCCTCTTCACCGAGCTAATCAGCAGGTATCACCCTGAGCCTCAGAGGAAGGGCGTGGAACTCAAACTTTCTGACATTATCTACCCGTCTTCAAAAAACTAGTAAATAAATAACTCTGATATGTGTTTTTTTTGTCTTAGTTCTTCAGTGAGTATGAGAAGTTACTTCATTCAGAAAATTATGTGACAAAAAGACAGTCACTCAAGGTAAGATGGTTATTTTATGTAGTTCACTTCTCTTCACCCTGTGTTTGAATTTTGGATTTGGGGGAAGGGGATTATGCTGGTATGTAGGTCTTAGACCTTTAGAGGAAAACGTTTGTCCATGGTCAGAATTTTTGAGGAAAGGGGTGGGGTTCAGCAGAGGTCCACACAGGGCTCCTGCCCACCTCCCTGTAAGTTAGAGATCCCAAATGCAATACACAGAATTTTGAAGAGGGCTTTCTCTCTTAGCAATGCAGTGTTTTAGATTTGAAACGTATTTTTAAAACTTAGAATCATGTCAGTTAGATGAAGACACTGCAGGTGTTATCTCCCCAGGAGGCGACCTTAATGGCAGGGGCTTACTGTGTGAGGGGGGGGGGAACAGTGAGCAGTGAGACTGTGGACCATAGATGGGTTTGGCTGCTCCGAATCAAAATAGGAATGAACAGTTCCTTTGGGAGTTAACAGCGTGCTCGAGGCTGAATAGCTCACAAGGAGCCGGAAAGCAAGACTAGCCCCTTCCCCACTCTGCTTCTGCCTCTGTCCACAAGGGCCACAGCTTGGCCCTCCCCCACTGCAGGCCATCCCACCACACACTCGATCTGCACTAGATGTGGGCACTGATGGCGTGAAGAGGTGGCTGCCAAAGAAAATCTAGGATAAGCAACAACAATTGAAAAATTAAGGACTGATAAGGTATAACCAACCTCTGTGAATTCAGTAAGCCCCAAAGACACAAGTTTCTTTTCTGCTTAATTGATGTTATTAGTGATGAGGAGTCACTAAGGAAGAAATGGAGTATCTTCAGGATACTTAGCTGAAGAATATACAGAAAACTTTTCATTTTTATCAGCTTTTCTGAATCAGATGTGATAATTTTGGCATGTGCAGAAATTAGTGTATGAAAACTTTGGACATGATCCTTTGTCCTATGAAATCCAAATGAAAAAAATTTAAAAATAAAAAGATTAATTTTTAGTTAAGCTAAGGTAATTGGCTAGTTAACAGGAATTATCAAGAACTTCTAAACATTTTCTTCAATAGTTTTGTTTTAGTGAGATAATGCAAATGCTATTTAAAGAGTAGGCAGGCTCTGACAGTCTCAAATTGGGGGCCAAATGTGCCTGAATATTCTCTTCAGAGAGCAGTGTCAGACTCACCATTTAAAGGGAAAGGTGGGTGTCAGAGTGGCGTACAGTAGGTACTCCATAGCTTTTAGGTCATAGTTTGGTTCACTTCATCGGTCTTTGGGGGGGGACTAATGATACTGTACTTAATAATGATAATTATTAAGTGAATTATTTTGATTTTCCTTAGAATCTTAATGATAATGTAGAGTGATTCTTTAAATGTCTTCTCAGCTTCTCGGTGAACTATTATTAGACCGACACAACTTCACAATTATGACAAAATACATCAGTAAACCCGAGAACCTCAAATTAATGATGAATCTTCTACGAGACAAAAGTCGTAACATCCAGTTCGAGGCCTTTCACGTTTTTAAGGTAGAGTGCTAAAACCACACGCAATATTTCCTCCTCATTTCAATCTCATTTTCTTTACAAACTTCCAAATAGTATTAGCCTCACTTTGGTAATCTAAGTTACACAATTCAGTTAATTTTCATGTTTTGTGTGGTACAACATTTAAACAGAAAAATAGACCCAGAAACCGGGTAAACATTTCAATTTGGGAACAGAATAAGTTTATTTGCAGAGGAGTGCCATTTGTCTTTGTCATAGAAAATTATTAATCACAAAGTTAAGGAGTTACCAATATTTCAATTCTTTCTGTGGAGGTTTTTATCTTCAAAATTCATATTGACCTTTTGTGCAGATTTTATTCTAAAATCTACATCTGTATTTTAATACTAACTACTGAGTTTCAGAACATGAGGGAAAGTACTAGTCCCTCTTTGTACTAAAGCATGTAAGTCTTTTTTTTAATTTTCAAATTGTGAAATAAGATATCCTGAAGCACAAACATACCGAGTTATCACGTGTCCAGGGAGGGAAGCTCTGGATGTGTCCTGCCTCCTTCTTTCCTGTAGCTGATGCAGATCTCTCTCCGGCAGGTGTTCGTCGCCAACCCTAACAAGACACAGCCCATCCTAGATATCCTCCTCAAGAACCAGACCAAGCTCATAGAGTTCCTCAGCAAGTTTCAGAACGACAGGACCGAGGACGAGCAGTTTAACGACGAGAAGACCTATTTAGTTAAACAGATCAGGGACTTGAAGAGACCAGCTCAGCAAGAAGCCTAACTCCCCATAAACATCCAAAATATTAAATCCAAACCCAGCACCTGCTGTTAGCTCGTCAGCATCAGGCACTCTCACCGATTCATGAGGAACATTATGCTAGTCTGCTGTTAAGTGAACGGTTTTTCATTTTATCTTTGTTTTTTTAGTCCATCTTGGAGAACATAGCTGCTGCTTTCTTGCACACTAGAGCACACGTGGACTTTCTCTTGATCTTTGTGTCATTTCAGAATTCAGAGACCCTGTTTGCTGTAGGAGTTCTGAACACGGCTAGGCTCATGAGGGCAAATGTAGGGGTGATAGTGTGATGGAGGGGCAAAGGCGCGATGGGATCAGATTAAACCTGCAGGTTTGCACTTAGGTTAAAGAGCTGGGCATGGATTCTTGGTGAGATTGTCTGCCTTCACACAGGAAGATCGTGCAGCGCTATATTTGGAATCGGGGGAACTGTAGCCACGATGTGAGCTTTTGGGGTGGTTAAAGTTGACGTGCGAATAAATTGATACTGAAACTTAGAAACTTCTTAAAAGTGTGACGCTTCATAAGGAAAATGTAAATACGCTTTTCACAGCTTTCTAGAATTTTTTGACATTTGATTTTCTTGAGACTCGTAAACCTGGATATGTTGGAAGGTATTTGTTAATTTCCCTTTTGGAAGGTCTTTTCAAACAGTAGAGCTAGCAACGACACCTCACATTTCATTTCAACAGTGCTCACAGGTTTCTTTTGTATATAATTCTTAGAATGCTCATTTCTTTTAAATGATTTAATTTGTACAGCAGAGGAATGTTATTGTATTAGTATGTAACTATTACCTAATATTGAATCTTTGCAAAAAAATGAATGCTCATATGTAATTGAAATACTTCAGATCACATGAAAATGCTGATTTAACATTTAAGTATCACAGCATTAAAAGACAAAAGTAAACCAATCCTTTGTATTCCATTATCTAGTGGGGTGCCATCCATAGGGTATAATATAGACTGGGAACTCAGTCAGCCCTCTTCCCTGCATAGTACAGGCCTTATTCATTTAAAATGAGTTTCCTTGATCTATGGACGATACTGTTTATGATCAATTAACGCTGATTCTCTGTGTGGGAAACCTCAGTAGAGCACCTTTTCTTCTTTAGAGTAAGTAATCCAGTACAGCAGTCATGGGACTGAATCATTAAACTTCGGCTTCTCTTAGGAAAAGAGTTCCTCATCACAGGAGTCCTGTGGGGAAATTTATTTTTTTTTAATGTCCTATTCCTTAATGCTGAAAATTATCAGTATTTATAAAGTAACTGATTTTGCACCACGTTTTTGTTACTGTGACCACGGCAGAGCAGCGAATCCTAGGATATATCTCTGTAAAGTTATTAGAATGGTATCTGTTCATCTTAGTGATACAAAGATCACACCTAACAACTTAAAATCAGAGTTTGCCGGTTCGAATTCAGCATGGCTGTGGCTAAGAAATTTACATGATTATTCTTTGCTAGCCTCTCTTACTAATTGAATTATTTATCGGCCAGTAAAAAGAAACTCCCAAGTGATGCTTCAGCAGGTTGCAAGACCTCCTTCTAGGAACACCAGTTAGGAAAATAGCTCCAGAAAATATAGATGCATTTTATTCTGTTTAATTAAATGACAGTCGGCATTGGTTTTCCTGAGGCTGTCTTTACCAAAATCTGTGTAAAATCATTCGAGTTTTTTCATTGGAAGTAGGGGGCGTGATCCAAGCTTCTTGATTTGAAAATATCAAGACGTGCAGGAAGGCAGACCTGGCCATGTAGCTCCTGGTTCTGTGGCCAGTGCTGGGTGTCAGGCTTCCGGGGAGCAGTAACCACACCGGGTGGAAGGAAGGTTTCCTGCCAAGCTGGTTCTTAGAACTGGAAACGACAAGCAGCTTCCACTCCGTGATGTCATCGTAGCACAAGAGCGTGGAGGACAGACAGTGTGTCAGAAAACACCGCGTGGTGCATCGCATTGGAATCTGGACACAGTTAAGATTTGGGTGTTTTGTTTTGTTTTGTTTGATTTTAAACAAAAATGTGAAAACATTCAAAGTTGAAAAGTTGCATTTGAAGTTATGATCCTTTAATATATTCGTGTTACCAAAACTATTACACTGAAAGTGTTTCTCTTTGTGTTATAAAGGTTTAGTTTTACTTAAGTCAGTTATTCCATGTGATTTTTAACCCTTAGAAAGAGGTGGAGATGGATACACCTGTTAACAATGCCATGAGAGCATTTCCTTTCTCCTGAGGAAAAGTAATTTCTTATCAGACTATGGCTGGCCCTGTAATTTAAATTAAAATAAAATTTTGGAGAAACAGCATTGTGCATGTTTACAATGTCATACAGATTGTTGCGTTCGTGTTGCTATGAACAGCCCCATCAGGAAACATGAGGACAGCGTTGCCACGAACTGAAACCAGAAACAACATTCACGCGCCTCTTTTTTCCCCCCCAGGGTTTGCAAATGTGATTTTCACTCACCATATAGGGCTCACAGCTACCTCACCCTTCCTTCCAGTTAAATGTCATCAGGCCTTTTATTAGCACCGCTTTGACACCATGGTTTGAGGGCATCCTTTCTCTTCATTTCTGAGACGCTTTATTTTGAATACTCTAGGGTAAAACTAAAGCCCTGGGCAAGAGTGTTTATAAGTAGCTAGAGTGAGGCTACAGTGACTGCAGAAGCACGGTGTTCAGTGGCTACAGTGACTGCAGAAGCACGGTGTTCAGTGGCGCCTGGGCGAAGCTGTGTCCTCAGGCTGCCTGGACCATGGAGCCACCACCTGCCCTCAGTTTTGTTCCCACCCTTGTTATGAGTGGGACCCCGTTATCAGGTGACGGCAAGAGAAATGCTCTTGCCAAGCACACAAGATGTCTGGATGTCATCCTACTTGTTATCTCTAATAGGTGTTCTCCAAAGAAGTCAGGGTCCCCTGAGGTCAGAACTTGTGACTCTGCCCTTTCTCTCTCTGAGGTTTCTTCATGCCTTAGCACAGGTTCTGCTTCCTACCAGTCACCAGTCGAGTGTCTCCCGCCGCCCCATCCCCCTGTCAAAAACACAGAAACTGAGCTTGGGCAGCTTTGTAATATGTGGCTATTATTCTGCCTGCCTTGTCTGTGAGGATCCAATGAGACCGAGACCGACAGCTCTCTGAGGCTGCAGTGCCACACAGCTTGTGCGTTCTGGGGCTAGTGACCCCAGAGTGATCCCACCTGGGACTTTACCAGCAATGCCACAGAGGACAGTGGCCTGGGACACGCTGCCCCTTCAGCTCCTGGATTTTTAGAGGGTGTTCTGGCCTAGTCTGTGTCCTTTACCACGTCTTCCAGAGCCTACTTGCCCCTCTCTGGCCACCTGGTTTCCAGGAGGTGGAAGGACAAGGCAAGACCCGCCCCAACACACACTCTACAATCTGAAAGTGATCTTGGTTGGCTCCCAAAACCAGCCTCAGGAGCAGAGCGAACACATCTCACCTCAGCTACACCAAGAAAGGACCATCAGCTTCCGCCTGCCAACACTTCACTTTGGTCAACCCACACTCCACCACCAAGGCATAATTTATAGGGACAAAGCCTTCCAACCTTGCAAGGACTTCTCCCACAGTTCATGCTGACCAGAGATGGTGTTGAGGGCTGCACAAGGTGCGTCGCTCCTCAGCTGGCATGACAATGACCTGGCCCATGTTTGGTCCCTGTGTGGTCCTCGGGCAAGGGCAGGTGTCTGGCCAGTCGGGGATCTCGGTCTTCCCCGGGGACCACCAGGTGTCTGCAGGAGAGTGTGAAATTTTTCATCAGGAAGACAGTGGAGATTTGGGGGAAAGCTTTATCTTTTTCAATATTCTCTACAAAATGAGCTGCTTTTTTGCTCATCAGAACTTCCATTCTTGGTAATACATTTTTATCACCTAAATACTTGGTGTGCCATAGAAATAACAAATTCCTGCTCTAGTTTTCAGTAGCTGGGTCTTCCAGCTGGTGGAGACTCAGCTGGAGCGGTGGACAGTGCCACAGCCCAACCCAGGGGAAGCTTCCAGACAAGGCTGCTCCCCAGCTGGTTCCCACCCCTCAATGCCCCCCCAACTCTACACCCCCCCCCCCCCCACACACACACACACACACCGTGGCTGCCCGGCACACTCCACACACCAAAGATCTTTGAAAATCTCACTTGTATGTAGGCAATGAGGGCCCCACTCGGTCCAGCTTAGCCTTCTTGTGCTCAGCTGACTGCGTGGTCCTGCGCTCTCCCCAGCCGTTGGACTGTCCATCCCGCCTGGGGCTGGCATACACTAAGGATGAGTGGGGTTGGGTGCTGAGCCCCATCCCATGAGCACACAAGAGGTCCTAGCAGCGCCCCACCCCACCCCCTTGGCACCCTCTTCTGCCTTTGAAAGCTACTTATTGCAGCCCAGGGCACCAGATGTGAAGCTGGTGTGGCCAGAAGCAGCCCCCACCCAGGTGTCCTGGACCCCAGCTGGGGTGCTCGCCAGCAGGCAGCTCCAAGGACACCACATGAATGGTTTCATGGCTTATCTTGTACCTGACTCCTTCCCCTGGCTCACATCTCACTGCACCAAGGCTTCCCGGGACCAAGTCCCAAATAAATGACTGGTGTCCAAACTTTTGTCCCAGGCTCTACTTCCGGGAAAACCCAAACTAGACCTGCTCCTTGGGTTTCTTCTAACCCAGAGGCATGAGCAGCCATGCCTGTGGCTGCCGCATGGAGGCAGCCATGAATGCAAAGCACCGCTGCCCCCCACCTCCCTCGGGAAGCACATGCGCGTCAAAGCCTGGCTGACAACAGGTACCGTGTGGCCCAGCACAGCAAGGCCTCTCGTGACCACAGCTTCTGCTGCCTGAGGCCAAGCCCAGGCCGCCGTCCCCCATGCCCCAATGTCCAGCCAGCTGAAGCCTTCAGACTCTTTCAAAAGCAGCTGGACAGGCCACACCTCTGCACAGAAATTACTCTTCGCGGTCATAAAGACAGGAAAATGC